ATCGAGGGAGGGAGGAGGCGCCACGTACTTCCAACTGCGGGCCTGGCCCATGTTGAGGAAGAGGCCGTTCACGCCCACCACGCCCCCGCCCTGTGCGCGGACAGGAGGGTAAGGAGAGGTCTCTAAAGGGTGTCAACCGCCGGCTTCCCGACAGGAGGGTGAGGAGAGGTCTCTAAAGGGTGTCACCCGCCGGCTCCCCGACCCCCCGCCTCCCGACTGCCACCCCTACTCGAAGCCAGCAGCACCCTCCCCTCCCTCTCCCCCTCAAACCTTCGTCTGGTGGAGGTGGCTGGCCAGCCAGGCCTCCACCGTGGGCACGCCCTTCTCGAGCGCCTTCATCAACACCCAGTCGGGCCCCAGCTCCTGTGACGCCTGCGGACGGGGAGGAGGGAGGAGACAGACAGGGAGAGCCGGTGAGATGGGGTGCTTGCGAGCAATAACAGAGACAGAGCAGACACCGCAAGCCTCCCAGCAGGGAAGATCGACTTGGCTTTTGCACGGATTCGCTGACAGCTGACCCTTTTCGAGGGCGTCAGGTCGCACGCGGCGTCTCTCCCCCCCTTCCTTCGCCTCCTCCCTCCTTCGTACCTGAAGAAAATATCGCCCGTCCGTCCACAGTAACGCATGTTCGGGTGTGACGACCGCCGTGCCCGCGCTTCCGCCGAATCCTGTCACGTACTCTCGCCGCCGGTCGCGTGCAGGGACGTACTCAGACAGGTGGGCGTCTGAGAGGTGCGGAGACAGGCAGGGCGAGGGAGGGAAAGGAAAGGGAATGAATGCCAAAACAAACGCATGATCAGGCGTATTACAGCATTAAGAAAAGGTAAGATATCGATGCCTGGTGTCGAGGAGTTCTTGGGGTCCCCCCAGCGCTGGCACTGACCTTCGGAGGGAACAACGAGAGCATCCAGGCCCTGCGCCTCCATGCCCTGGCGTAAAGCAGCCAAAAGGGCGGAGGAGCCGGCCACTGGCGGCAGTGGCGAGGAGGAAAACGCTGAAGGAGGCATGCCCTTTCAAGTTGTTTTTTTTGGCTGCGGATTGAGGGGCGTGCGTGCGTGAGTTTTGGGCGTCCCTTCATGAAGAGGTTAGCCCCTTTGAGGGGGTTCTCTATCAGAGCCGTGTTCTGAAAAACTTTTGATTACGACACTCAAGGATGACAACGACAGTAAATCCATGGACAGATCGCTCCTGGGCACATCTGAGCCTGTACGCGTGGAACGAACCGTAAGAAAACAGTCACAGGCCCGGCACCCTCTGGAGTTAACCTTCGCATGTTGCTCTTTTTGAGCGATCGTCCAGCGTGGCGGCCCTCAGGCATTATTATTCACACGTCCAGGGCTAGGAAATGCCGCACAAAGCCG